AGAAGCCAGACCTGGAAAAGATGAAGAAGCTGGAGGTCGAGCAACCAAAGCAAATGGCTAAGGGTGGTCGTAAGAAGAAGAATTTACAAGAGTCAAAGACGGAGGCAGTGAATCTATTAAGAAGCCCCAAGCTGTTTCTAGGTATTTTGAGAACTTGGTTTGTTATCGCTGAAGGTTTTGTTATGGTGGTTTTTCGTGATCGTAAATATCATTGTGAGTTGTAAGACTATGTTAAAAGTTTAGAAAGTTGAAGTTGAAGTTTATTTCTTAGAAAAAAAATTCTTAAATCTTAAAAGATTTTAATTTTTAAATTTGTGCTTTGAAGAGAAAGTTTTGAATTTTAAAAAGGATTTTAATCTTGAGTTTTAAAAGATCTTCTTAATTTTGAGTTTTTAAAATATGGTTTTAAAATTAGGTGCATTGTAAATGAATTTTATAATTAAATGAGTTTGATTTTGTAAGAGATTTTTAATTTGATTCTTTTTTACTTTACTTTGAAATCATTTTCAAAATAAGATTCTTTTTATGAGAAGCATCCTTTGAGCTTGAACTTTCTTAAATTTCAAATTTTAAGAATTTTTTTAGCATATTTTGTTAATATACAAAGATTTTTATTAGGTATTCATATTCATCACATTCTCATGTGTTTTCTTTTTTTTTTCTCTTTATATACATACACATTTATACAGTGGTCACTTTACATATGTATCACATTTAAATAAGCATGGGTTAACATTCAAATAGAAAAGCTCTGTCCAAAGAAATATTATAAATGTATGCTTATACTTAGTAGTTTTGATTACTAATTACATTTATTGTTGCAATTATTTTCAGTTAACCCTATTTGTCATCATTCTAACGTTTATATGATGTTAAACTATTTTGTTGCAATCTTATAGGTTTTTTAGCGTAAAATCAATGAATTGCATATGTCGTTCATCTGCAGTATGAGAAGCTCTTGATAAGGTCCGGTCAACCATCGATGACCACACATGGAATAAATTGGAAGCCATGAGTTTGTTTCAATTTTTTGAACTCCCTCCATACCCTCAAAATCATATTCTGACAATGTACATAATTAACTGTTGGGATATTGATCGAATGACATTTCAGCTGGGTGGGAAAGAACTCAGATTTGAAGCAGACTGAGTAGCCCTCCTGATCGGCATGCCCAATAGAGGGTCAACAACATACTGTAATAAAGCTCTGTCCTGTAGCATGGATGCGAGACAAATGAAAACCGAACTTATCAATTTTGAGCCAGGGCAGTCATATGATTGCTTTGTAGAGTGTAGAATTATTAATAAAGTTTTTATGGACTAATTTAATTTTTCCTTCAAGCAATTTTAGAGTATCCTAACAGCTGTCTTCTCTTTGCGAGGATGTAGAAACTTTTAGCTCGTATAATTGGTCTGCTATAGTATGTGGTTTTTTGATTGAGCAACTGAACCTATGTGTCATGAAAGTAAGGACGGATCAGCCACTTAGATACATTAATGGTTTTGTTTTCCTCTTAACAGTTTATTCTCTGCACATTACTACTGAAATCTCTTTTCATAATTTTGTACATACCAAATAATTATTTATCATGATTCAAACAGCTCTGGTTTTACGAGTACACGTCCTTGGTCGTCCCAGCAGTTCCCGAGGCTAGACCCCAAATGCTGAAGTAGCAAGTAAATGTTAGATGAAATGCTTTAAGATTCAGCTAGCCTTTAATATGCTCAGCCCTGCCAGGGTGAATTCAATAATTTTCTGTAGAAATTGGTATTATGGTCATGTTATATATTGATTGACATTGATTGTCTGTAATTTTTTGCAAGTTTATGATTTTTTTCTCAATGTAAAAGAAAGTGAATATCACTTACTTTCAACTTCCCCTGAAGAGCCATCCAGTCCTGCAAAGCTTCTCCCACAGCGGGAGACCCCTTCCAGACCACAGTCACCCATGTTGGTATCTCTTATAGTATCTTATCATATCGATCCTCAACCAACGCACAGACATACATTTGAACAAATGAGCAAATGACTTGGATTTGAAGAGATTCATGAATTATTGAAAGATCAACAAAAAATTATATTGAACTTTCAAGTCTTTGTTGAAAGTCATTTGAAACAGTTAGAGAATACGGTCACAGACTTAAAGTGTCATGTCATGAATGTAGAAAAAATAATAAAACAACTAGATGGGAAATGGTCGAGGAGATGGGTCAAAGAGTCCCCATAAAGAAGCTTGATCCAAAGGATTAAGGAAAGAGTAAATAGAAGAAAGAGGATTCTCAGTTCCCCATATGTTGTTTTGGAAAGGAAGAAAAAAAACACCAATAAAGGAGCTGATTGAAATTGTACATGAAGAGGAAGCAGGTGTTGATTAGCAACCCAAATCTCCCCAACAAGAAGTTACAATTGAACATAAAGAGAAAGAGGAGCAGCAACCGGTCACTCATTATATTAGTGAGGACTACGCTGACAAGGTATGGAATGTTTTCTTCTAATATTTAAATATGGGCATTAAATATTCTGAGTTGCTGATCTTATAGGTCCAGCCAGCATCACAGGTGATCGATTTTTCTGTTATAAATGAAATTGCAGATTATATGCGGGAAATGATCGATCTATGTTGTAGAAAATTTACAGACTTGTTAGTGCACCTTAGTTTTTGGGTGTTCTGCATTACTATTGTAACTATATACTGAAGTAATTATATATTTCAAGTGCAGGGGTGACCTAGTAATTGATATGGGACATGTTTCATTGCTGAGACGTTATCTTGATGAATTGTTGGGAAACGGTTGGTTAGGCAATGAACATGTGGATTGTTTCGCTATGTTGAAGGAGAATAAGCGATGTAACACACAACATATGTATAGATCGTACCTATATGTGTCTTCATGTCGTTGAGTAAATTTTAAAAAATTAACATGTTGTTGAGCGCATTTACACAAATCTAACATGACCATAATTTGTATGTAATTTTGTTCTTTTTAATGTAGTTGTATAGACAAGAAAACGTGAAACCCTTTGTCGTGCATATTTATAAATGATTCTATCAAAGAGGCAAAGTTATTACTTATACCTATAATAAATAATCAACATTGGACAATTCTTGTTGGGGCATTAACGGAGGGGAAATGTAGACTTTATGACTCCTTACCCAATGCATTTGCATATCACCAGTGGCATTATAAGGCCTCGCACCAAATCACTAACTATTGCCACACTCTAAATATATAGATTGAACCATTTATTTATTGACTCAACTCTAAACATGCAGATTGATCATTTGTTAAGGGATGTCGTGGGAAGCGTTCCAGGTTAATTTGAAAAAGTGGTCAGTTGTAATGGCCAAAGGAATTCCAGTGCAAAGTAAGAGTTTTGATTGCGGAGTTTTTGTCTGTAAATATATAGAGACACTTGTACAGAAAGAGAGAGGCAATTGGGCAGAGAAAAAGGGGTGGCAGGAATTGATGTCATTATTTAGAGCTGAAATTGGATATGACATTATTAAATTCGCGTTGTCAAATCACAATAGGTTTGAAAGGACAACATTTCTTGCAGCTTCTAAGAATTTTTTACTGAGATTTAAAAAATGGATTGAACATAATTGATATGACTTTTATCTGTGCCATTTTATGAGATTTATAAATATCTCTTCTATTTGCTAGGAATTTTATCTACTCATGGCAGGTTTCTTGATGACTGGATCGTCTCATTCCTTCATACCGTTTAGTTTTCTGAAATAGTTAACGTTAACTAGCTTTTTTATAGGAGGGTTTGCTTAGATTTTAATATTTTTTGCATTACTGATGTTATTTCAATATAAGCTTTGTTCTTAGGTTGTTTGTTTAATTTATTTTCCTTTGTGCAACATGTTGTTTGGAGAAAATAAGGTAATGATTGTATGAAGGTTAATATTCATGGAAGTTGATGATCCAAAAGTGCAGGAGCTGAGAAGGCTTCAGAAAGGAAACCAATAAATGTATTTGTTTTATGGAACCAACAAACGCATTTGTTTTCTGTCCGCATTTGTCAGTGTTGGTTCCACCTTCAAGCAAAAGTATGGGCGGGTTGGTTTGCTGGTTATAATTGTTTTTTGCTTGTTTTGGGTGGGATTGTACATGGAAGTCGATCCTTAGGTGAAACTGAAGTAGTGTATATAACTGTTTTATTTGTAATAAAAATTGGGCTTGATTTAGTACCTTTTCTTTTCTCCAATGCGTTTTGTTGGTGGATGCTTTTAGGCTGTATACGGAGAGGCAATAAGAATGGTTTAGGCTGTATGACGTTTCTTTTCTTTGGATTCTTTGCTGCTCTTCTTAATTCTGCATTCAACGTTTGGTTATATCGGTGATGATGGCTGCTGCTAGGCACATTTTCTTTTCATTACCTCTTTGTCGGGTGATAAGGGCTTGTCAAAGATTACTTTTTTATGGTAAATTCATGAATTATGAGGATCCCTTTAAAATCATCATGCATCCAGGTGAATTATTGTATTTGAGGATCCTTGATTCTTCTACTTGGCTTGCGATGTGGGACTTCTTTTCATTTGGAGACTGGTTTTGATTTTTATCGTGAGAGGTGCCCTTTTTGGCCCGTTGTCCTTATGATTTTGGAGATACCGTTTCTGTTTCCTAAAGTGGTTCATGGAATCATATGTGAAGCTGTGCTTTCATTATCCCTGTAAAGCTTGTTTGTTGCACCTGGCAGTGGTTCCATTTTTTTTGTCGCTGTGTGAATGTCTTTCTCATAGGCAGTTTTAATGGGTTGCAGTTCCTAATGTTGGCATATTGGGGCTTGTTGTTTCTCTGGTGAAGAACAAATGTAACTTATCTTTGACAAGCTATGGAGTCAAAACAAAACCATTTTCATGAGCAGAGGATTAACCTCCAACTCGATATTTCCATTCTTTGGGAAGAAACTCTTTACATTAGTCGTAGTAAGCAAGGTGATGAATGGGGTTAGGAAGATGTGGATGAGGGATGAGAAGTATGGACCAAAGCTTATAAGAATTTATCCAAAATTTGGCATCATATGCAAGGATAAAAATATCCTGATTACAAATGCCTCAAAACATCCTCATAAAAATAACAAAAATAGACTATTTCATCAAAAACAAGTGCCTCAATACAAGTCATCCTCCACACAACAAATGGCTCAATACAAGTCATCCTGGGAAGTATCCCGATATGTTGCTTACATCCTGATTAGAACCTGAGTGAAAAAAAAAAACATATTTGTAAAGTTTATTCATTAAAAACATCCAGATTAAAGAAGATGTCAAATTACTTACTGATTATGTATTGAATTCGTCATTATGGCGGTGTACGATTCCATGGACCATGGAGGAAAGAAATTCTGTAGTTGAAAGAACAAAAAATTTTAAAAAAACATACAGATCACAAAAAAAATTTGCACGTTATTATCATCATTTCGCATTATATATCGACCTGTGTTAGAAAATCAGGCAGTGAGGACATGTTTGGATCATACTTTAATGTTTCTGGTTCTTGGTTGGTTGAAACTTCTATCGGTTTTTCTGTTAAAGTGGTTATGGGTGAAAAACATGTCTAAAACATCTAAAAACAGATTTTTTTAATGAAATATACCTTTTGCTTTTTTTTTCTCTTAGTAACCTTTTGGCCTGGAATTAAATATTCCTTTAGGGTGGTTCGATTCGTTATTCACCAGATTTTTGCTTTTTTTTTTGCTTGTTTTCGTGACTTAGAACCTCTTCCACTTATTATGTCATCAATATCCAACAATAATTTCTTCATTGAGTCCTTCATGCACTGCTCAGCCTCTGCATTTCCCTTTGCTTTATTAGTAACTTGATAATGTCATTTTTTGCATGTCTTTGAAATATTAGGTCACCTTTACCATCATTCCACGTTTGTGACCGTTGGAGATGTTTGTATCCATAACTACTATACACATCTCTTTTGACATTTGTAGACCATCTCAACAGGAGATATTTATCTGGGGTTTTCTTAATATATAGAAAATTTAATACTCGTAGAGAGTGTGCACATAATAACCCCATCATTTCAATTTTTTTTACAGCTACATTAAACCTCCAAACTGAAATGGTCCAAATTTACAATCCAATTTGTGTTTGTCATGTGATCATCCAAATTTTTAATGAAAAATTCATCTTCATTGTTTACAGAAGCGTGTAATTGAAGATCACATAATCCGTGAATAAACTCTTCCTCAAACATAGTGTAAAGCTTTCTTGAGTAAAATGTAGTTGTCTGCTTCAGTATTGGGCTACTTTTCGCAACTGGAGTGAACATAGATTGATTGCACTTGTGATCATCGTCCTTCTCGTTACGCCTCCATGTTCTCATGACATATTCAAGGCACAAAAAACAATCAGTAGTAGAACTTGAGGGCTTAGCGACACTATGACAAATATTATTCGTTGGCTCACTTCTCTGGGTGGATAAAATTCTCATTCCAAATACATCCTTATTAAAAGTTGTAGCCCACTTATCTTTGATGTTGTACATCTCATGTAGCCACACGTTCTCCTATAGATTACCAGTCTCAATCATCATCTCCCATGTATTATCAAATTCCTCTGTAGTCACACGTTCTCCCATGCATTTTCTTATACACTTATAAAAAAGATTAGTGAGTATTTTATTCACCGCCCCGTAGTGAACCTTTGTAGGCAATTTCTTGTATATGTGCCGCTGACATAATCTGTGTGTATTTGGCAAAATATGTTCTATGGCTTTCCCCATTGCCTGATCCTAATGAGTGTAGATTATAATTGGATGATTATCGCTCATAACATGGATAAAAGTTTTAAAGAGCCATTTAAACGACTCTGCCGTCTCCTCTGACAAGAATCCGATGCCAAAGAGAACATTCTGTCAATTGTGGTTAGCACCAATAAAAGGAGCACAACACAAGTTACATTTATTTAATTTGCAGCTAGTATAAAAAATAATAACATCACCAAAGCAGTCATAATCATACATGGACGTGTTGTCACTCCAAAAAAAACTCACCAACCTACCACTCTCATCAGTTTCGAAGTCTCATTCAAACATGCTATCATCAGCACATCGCTCTATAAACAATTGCAATAAAGCATTGGCATCGTCATTTTCAATTTTATATCTTTTCTCTCTTTGAATGAGATTGAAGACATCTATCTTAGTACACTTCAGGTTCTCTACTCCCCCAACTTTTGTGGCTAGAAAGTTAAACACATCTCTAGGTCTTATCCCTAACTGTGTCATCGATCTAAGAACATTTGCATTGAATTCACTTATCTTTCTGCTGGAAAGCAAGAGGTGCTTATCACCAGGGTTTGCTAATGAGTGTTTATGAGATTCAATGAATTTTTTGAATGTCCAATCGCCTTTGACATCAATTGCGTATCCAATAATCGTCAGACAACCACTTCTTGTGCCTATTCTTTTGTATTTAACAGTTTGTGCGACATTCAGCTCTTTCTTGAAACCTGTTTTTCCACATACAAAGTCCTTCATCTTAAGATTCCTGGAGTTCGGCCAGAAAGTGTCGTGCTCCTTACGAACACTAAATCCGATATGATGAGCGTAAGCACAATATACTTCGTAAGCTTCTTTCTCATTGTGGATCATCGTTTGAAGTAAAATATTTGTAGTTTGCTCCGTACATGTAGGTCCACTTTCATCAAAATGCACAAAATATAAAACTATATTAAACTCAAAAACAGGTGAACAAACAAACAACCCTAAAAAGTCATATGTTCCTTCCATAATAAACATTCATTACTTTAAAAAAACACACAAGTTGGAATATCCTACATTAAACCCTAGTAATAACAGCTCAACAAACAAACCAAAAATCATACACCTTTACAAACATTCACCTCCAAAAAATTATGGTAAACCCAAAAAATAAGAACACCCTATCGGATGGGCAATAAAACAGTAAACCCTAGCTGCTTAAATAGCAACATTCGCGCTCTCATAATTTGAAGTATGGTTACCAAGCGCGCACGCTCATATTTTGAAGGAAGGTTATCAAGCAGTTACATAGAATTTACTGCAGCGGTACCGCACCGTGAATTGGCGAAAGGTTTTCGGAGGTTACCGCAAAGTTAAACGATTGGTACAGAGGCTTTGGAGGTTACCACAACATTACACGATCGGTACATATGGTCCGGAGGTTACCGCAACGCTATACAGCCGTGGTACAGAGGGTCCACGGTTTCTCCAGAGTTACCAAGCGGTTATTAGTGCTGTACCGCAGTCTGCATAGGAGCGGTTACGGGTCGGTTATTGGTCTGTATTGAAGCGGCATTACCGTTGTCCCGCTGCGCGGGTCGAATCGACGGGTCATGCGGGGAGTATTTAAAATGTACGCGGTGGGACCGGCATTGCTTAGATGTCATGCTCCTATTCAATGACGTACGCAACACTGCATATGCTGGACGTACGCAGCGCTGCATACACTGGACGTATGCAAATTTTTTCCATGTTGATGAAGCTATCCTTTCCACTAATGCAAGTTTATATGTAGTTAAAAAGGTTCATAAGCCGCTGGTTAAGTTTCAAAAGAGCTCAAGTATGTCCTTTAATATTAACAGATGTCAACTTTTCTTAGGTAAGCATGTTGGTTCATCTAGGAGATGCTGGGTTAACAATTATACTAGGTTTTTGGTGGTTGAATTGCCCCTTAAATACCTGGGAGTTAATCTTCTGAAAGGAATAAAGAAACAAATACAATTTGATGATGTTGTGGGAAAAATAAAAAAATAGAATTGGAGAATAGACCAATTCTTTTCTTTCATTTGGGGGAAGAATCACTTTCCTAAGAAGTGTTTTTAATACTATTCCTTTATATGCTCTCCAAGCGTTAGAATGAAAACTAGCACACAAATACTGCTAGAAAGATTATTTAATAAATTTCTATGGGCTGGTGATAAAAATAAGAAGGTGCAGGCGGGGTGGGAAAACATTGCAAACCACTTGAAGCAGGGGGGCATGGATTTAGGGAATTGCATCATATAACAGGAATTAATTGTATCAAGTTGTGGTCGAACTTCAGGAACTTGAATTCCTTGTGGGTAAAGTACTTGAATGCTAAATATGATAGGGCTTTGCAACCAACACAAGTTGTTTTTAAAAATGGGGATTCCAAAATTTAGAAAGGCATGCATAAGCTAAGGAATTATGCTGTAAGAGCTATCTTCTGAAATCTTGGAAAAGGAAACATTTCCTTTTGGAAGCTCACATGGTGTTTGGAGGATCTCACTTGGTATTATAATGAGGGTAATGATGAATTTAAAGTTTCAGACTGCTTGCTAGGGAACATTTGGAATTTGGAGGTTCAGGTAAGTCTCATGGGGAAGGATTCAGCTCGCGCTATCTCCAGAATTCCATTTAATAGGACTCAAGAGGATAAAATTCAAACTAAATGCTGAGGTTGGTTCATCCCAAAATGATCTAACTTTCTAGAAAATGTAGCTAACTGATAAGTTAAAATTGAAAGCACGTCCATGTCATGTACAGTTGCTACCTTTCTTGGGTTCACTCTCTCAGAAGGCCATTTAAAGTTATTTATAGTCATCTCCTCAATCAGAGAATAGGCCTCATCAAATGACTTTGACATAAGTGACCCACCAGTGGCGACATTTATAATAGACTTAATAGATCCTACTAAACAATTATAAAAAAATTGAATTATCAACTAATCAGGTAGCGCGTGATGGGGGCATTTCCCAAGAAGTTCCTTGAATCATTCCCAAGATTCATAAATTGGCTCACCTTCATATTGAAAAAATGAAGTGATATCATTCCTCAATTTAGCCATTTTTAAAGGCGGGAAATGCTTAGTTAAGCATTTTTGTGCTAAGTCACTCCACATCTTAATTGATCCAGGTGCTAATGAGTTTAACAACATTTTGACTTTGCCCCTCAAGAAGAAAGGGAAATGCCTAAGCCTAATAATTTCATTAGATACACGATTATAACGAAATGTAGTACAAGGTTATAAGAAACTCGCTAAGTGTAAGTTAGAATCTTCAGACGGAGTTCCCCTAAATTGATTGTTTTGCACCATTTAGATGATAACAAGTGTCAGTTTGAATCTGTTAGCTTCAACATTAGGGGACTAAATGCTTAATTGAATTTCATCTTCCATAGGGTTAACATAGTCTCTTAATGGTTAATGTTCATCATGAATTGATCCATAAATTGATTTTTGAATTTTAGGTTTGCTATGTGGGTTGTTCGCCATCTCTCCTATGAGTTGTTCAAGTCACTTTTATTTTTTTATTTTCTAATAGTTCTCTCTAACTCAAAATCATATGGTGCAAGCACATAGGCCCTACACTACGCATAAGCAAACTATAGAATCTAATAGGTAAAATTCACACACAATCACACAAATAAAATATTTTTTATTTTTTTTAGTTTTTTAAAAATAGGAAAAACAAATTAAACACAAGAAATTAACACCAAAAGGTTTTCCAAGTCTAAGAGCTACAGGTTCAACTAAAATTCTCCAAACTTAAATACACCGTTGTTCCCCAGCAACAGCGCTAAAAACTTGATACCCACTTTCAGGTGCAACTACACATGTCATAACAGTAATATTAGATTTCTAAGTCTGGAATGTCGATCCCACAAAGGACAAGGGAATTAGACTTGGGAAAAGTTCTAGCCTACTAGTTTTGTTCCTAGCTTGGAATTTAAATTGGGTTACAAGTTCTACAAACTAATCCTATATTATCTAAAGCAAATTTAAAGTTTAAATCCTACAAAAATCCTACTTAACTAGGTGTTGAATTGATGAATTTCAGGGTCTAAAGCTACCCTCCCTTATAATGATGGAAGAGGAGTGCAGGAAATGAAATGTGCAAATTGTAAATTTGGCTAGTGATAAATATGAGCAACTTTTTTCTTTACCCTCTCCCAAGTGCATAAACAAGATTGATTAAAATGACTTTAATTCCTTAAATCCGATCTTGAACCCCTCAAACAATATTTCCCTAACATTTGCATCTCCCTACGAAGCATATCCACATATACTCCACGGTTCAACGTGACTAACTTAGTTGATTCTGCCATAACTCTCCTAAGTCATTATGGTTCACAACACATTTTAACATTTTACTTTGCCAGAATAAAAAGTAAATGAAAATATTAAAATACAGTTCCTTAAAGTGTAATTTCATCCATAAAAAATGTGCAAAACATAAAGAAATTTAAACATTCATTTCTACACATCAGGGGAAGGCAAACTTTCTTTGGGGTGGGATAATGGAGCTAGTAAGGATCTTTGTATGGAATTTGAGAAGGGCATGGGTGTCAAAAATCTACTTGTGACTGACTATTGGTTTGATAATAACTGAAATTTAGATACTTTAAAACAGTTGGTTAACTTTGATATGGCCTTAAATATCTCAAGGATTCCAATCAGTAGAACTGTGAATGACAAATTGATGGCTATAACAAGTTCCTCCATATCAATTTCTAAAACATTTTATCAGCACTTGCATCACTGGACTACTGTTGAATTGGGAAAAAACATCTACCAGTTACATCTGTCTCCTTCCATCTCATTCTTTATTTAGAGATGTCAACACAACCTTCTTTCATTTGATTATATACTAAAGCTCAAGGTCTTGAGTCTCCCCTCTTGTTGCCTTTTGTGCAAAGAGGAGGAGAAATCTTTTAACCATGTTTTTCTTTTTTGTAGGTTTGCTAGACAGATATGTGGGAGAATTGGCGATAAGTCTCAAGTCACCCAACCACTTCATTGATACCAAAATCTACAACAATGTCTAACTAACTAGAGGAAATATTAGCACCATCACCTACTGGAGAGAATTCCTAGCATCACTTTGTAGTTCATATCGTTAGCCCAAATTTTTATGAAGCATGAGCAGCAAGAGGCTAAGGTGGAGAAGATTGTGGCTAACATCTTGGAATATATCCACCAGATTATCACTTGGGAAATACAAAAGCACATTATCTCAGAAGAATTCACTATCTACCACCAATTATGGAACAAATTGAGGGGAATTTTAAATGCAAGAGGGACTTTTCTAGAGGAAACCACAACATCATTGGATTAAATTTAACACAGATGGAAGTTGGAGTAATTTTAAGGTTGGTGTGTGTGGGGTCTATAAAGATAAGTTGGGAAAACTCTTATCATTTTTCTACTCTCCTTGTGGGGCCAATAATGCTATTGAAGCTAATTGTTGGACGGTTTGGATGGCTGTCACATTAGCCGCTCATCTCCGTTGGAAGTTTCTCCATGTTGAAATTGATTCACTTTTATTGGTATAGACTCTTCTTGGCTTGTGTCCCGCTCCATGGAACCTCATCATCAGTTTGAAGAAAATTCAAGCTATTGCTGCTAATCTTCAAGTATTTGGATCCATATCCACTGGGAGGGTAATCAACTTGTAAATTGGCTAGCTATCTTGGTCTCCCTTTAATTAGATGCAAACCCATGTATTTTTGGTTTTCTGGTAATAGAATTTATTTTGCTTATATATATATATGTGCATCAT